ATGTGTGGGTGGGGGGGAGGGGCGGCCTGGGACCACCGGGGGGTGAGACCTCCGTCCACGCTTTCTTTCCCAATCTTTTTGCGTTTCCTTCTGCTCTCTCTTTGTGAGTCCTTGTACGTAAATGTCTTGTCTGTCTTGTATGTGCTGTTTGAGGAGGAACTGGCACGGGCTAGCCTCCCACATAGTGGGGCTGTACTCGGCCGCTCGCCTCGGCACAATGTTCCCTTACTGTTTCTGTTTGTTGGTCATTTATATTCACCATAAAATGCCTTAAGGGCGGGGACATGTACGGTTACCTGACTTGATCTTACAACTTGTTAACATGTTTTAAATACCGTGTTTCCCCGAAAATAAGACACTGTCTTATATTTTTTTTGCCCCAAAAAAACACACTAGGTCTTATTTTCAGGGGATGTCTCATTTTTTATTTTTTTTTACTGTGCAACGAAATGTACAACAATCTAAAGTTATTCATGTACAACAATCCAAACGTTATCTGGTATCACTCCGCCTGTCACAGTAACTGGCGCTATAAGGGAAGTATCTGCTAATGCGGCTCCGTTGCCGCAGCCTTGCTTTCTACAGCGCTGGCATGCTTTGCCATCAGGGACAGCGGTACCAGCGGTGGGGACATCAGACAGTGGACAGCGCGGTAAAGTACGGTACCATTTACCGGTACACAATACAGTACGGTTCCATTACAATAAGCAGTGCCTTCAGGGGGACAGCAGTTGGTGAGGTATGGTACTGGAGTGCTCCCTGTCACTGCGCTGGCCGGAGGGAGTCCCCTGTCATCCCCTTAATACAGTATGTCCCTTTAGGCTGATGCCATCTCTCCTGCTCTTCAAGTTCCCCCTCACATGCTACCACCAAACTAGGTCTTATTTTCGGGGTAGGTCTTATATCACAGGAATCTTGAAAAATAGTGCTAGGTCTTACTTTCGGGGTAGGTCTTATTTTCGGGGAAACAGGGTATGTTCCTCATTGTCTATGATTCAAATATTGCGTGAGACCTAGTGTCCTCCGCTTGTCCTCCTTTTCCATGTAAATAAAGAATAAATAAATAAAGTAGCAATGGCGGGAATCTTTCATAATGACCACGGCAGGTGTGTGTATCCGGGAACTCAGCATTGCGATCTCACCAACAGATTCCCAAAGAGACAACATTGTCAAGTGGTTAAATCTCCAAATCTAGCAAAGTCCCAGCCGCTCCACTCCCTCTGCAATCATTCATCTATATTATCTACTGCTTTATGCACATATTTTAATGGCATTCAAAGGGACACATTATAATGCCTTACAAAATGTGACATCCAATGGTATACTTCTTCCTGCTTTTTATGCAGTATGAAAGAATGAAATGAAGAATCAATTGTCTGTTAATGGCAAGGGAAACCATTGGTTTTTAAACTGTTATCATTAATGTGGCCCACAATGTGTTATTATACATAAAGTATTCTCAGAAGTTAAACAGAGCAAACCATTGCTAAGGTGGATGAAGACCAATAACCATGAAAACATTTTTGTTTCTTGCTTCTGACGATACAGCTTGGCAAATAAACAGGACCGTGAGGGAGCCATGGCTGAGGCTGATATCATCGAGTATCTTTCACTGGAGAAACTGGTCAATGAGCACAAGTGCCTGTGTCAGATTGTGAGTAACAGTCGTCTGCTGTCTATTTTTCTATGGCACTGTCTGCCTGATGATGGTCTGCATTTTTTCATTAAATGATTTTCTGTGGGTAAAGCCGGCAATGGATGCCAGAGGGCGGTTGAATGTGAGGGCACCATCCAGCTATCCAGTCCAGCTACAAGGAGAAACATGAACACATGAGGTGCTGAGAATTCATGTTTATCACTCGAGGGACTAGAGAGGTGTATCCAGATACTTCCACTGGGAGCAATTACAAATGCTTATATAAGATATGATTATCAAAATATGGGTAACTGTTAGTGATTGCCTAAAACAGGGCCACAAATTTGCTTTCAATCTTGGAGCAGCTAAAAAAGTTAGGAGTCGGATTTATTTTTTTTTTTAAATAAACTGACAAAGCTTTATTTTCTCATTTTCAATCACAGTTTTAAATGCAAGCCTGGTATTAGCTCTTGCAATTTGAAATATCCAATAGCAAGTTAGCTATTGCATCCGCCCCTGCAAAAGCGTGCATACTAACGGGAACACAAGTCGGGTGCACCTACGTACGAAAATGATGACTGCGCAACACATGTCAATTATAGCCACCCGCCCACTGCCTGTTGTCAGTCAGCAAAGGACACAGCTGCTGCAGCTTGTGTCCCCACTGCAGCTGCTGAGAGGGGAGAGCAGTGGGGATCGAAGGGGACACAGACTGCAGCATGCAGTTATTTATTTTCTACTTTTTTCTGACTTTTTTTTAATTATTATTTTTTACTTTTTAATTTTTTTATCACTTCTTCTTTTTTTTTTTTTTTTTTTTTTTTAATTTTTTTTTTCCTTTTTTTTTTTTTTTTTTTTTTTTTTTTTAATTTCACTTTACTTTATTGTTATTACACAGGGGTTAACAATCCCCTATGTGATAGCATTTGGAGTTGATAGGTTCTCTTTATGGAGCCTGCCCTACAGGACAGCAGCTCGAGCACAGCATTGTGCTTGATCCTCCTGTGCAGCTGAGACGGGAAGCGCTGTGAGTACAGTGCTCCTGTCTCACTGATCACACAGAGCAGAACGGACGGACACACTCGGTGTACATACTGTAGTGCGTTCGTCTGTCAGGGCCTGTTTTAACGGGAGGCTATGTCCAGCTTTAGTTTACTTTAGATTGAAACATGATGTACATGTTATGACACTTGAGTTGCGTTTGTGATATAGTCACATACACCTATAATTGTATAACTGTTCTCTGCGTTTTTTTAGGAGCCGTGTTCAGCAGCCCTCGGCTATGGGAAGAAAATCGATACTCACATTAGGAAAGGGCTGAACTGGTTACTGGGAGTCATAGCAAAAGATTTTGAAGCATTACACGAGCGCATACAGAGAGAGACCGCAGAGCAGAAAGCCCAGGAGGAGCAAGATAAACAGAAGATCGCTGAGAGGGTGAAAAGGCTGAGGGAGGAACGGTAATTGTGGAGTACAGCTACAATGATTACTTCTTGAAGAGAAACCCACCTACAGCTTGAACACACAAAGCACCATGACACGCCTCTGAAAGAGCAGTCAGTCAGTCAGTCATGACACTTCCAAAAGTACCCACAGCCAATCATCACACATTTTTCTAATTTAGACACGCCTCTCTATACTTGCTTTTCTGCTAAATCACAAAGGTTCCCATGGCATTTAAAAAAAGTTATTAACCTTTGCGGATAGTTGACTGTTACAGCGATCCCTCCAGCCTGTCTCCTTCTCTGCAGTGATGTCCCTCAGCATCCTCATGTTTTATACACAATGTATAGAATATGATGACTTGTGAACCTTAGACCGCTGTAGAGTAGTGGGAGAGAGGCTCCAGGGACCAGTCTAAAAGCCATCTGGCTCCAGGGATCAGGTGAGTATAACATTGTTATTTTTGCACCTAGACACAAACGAGCACTTAACCCTTGCAGCGCAGGGGTAGCCCCACTGCAAGGGTTAAGAAAACATTTGCTCTGAGTTCTGCTTTAATAACAGTCTTCCGGTCATTCTTTTTGTTGGCCAGATTGGGTGAGCATCCAGTGTCTATAGAGCAGCTCATGAAAGCCCCAAACAAGCGGGCTTGGGGAATGGTTAGCTAAAGGAGAAATAAAGCCAAACTGCATATTTTTATTTTACCATCACAGGTCTCACTTTCATACTTTTAGAAGTTGGGTGAAGATTTAGGAAGTGATGAGCAGTTATTGTGGCAGTTGTTAAAAATAGACCCCCAAGTCAAGCATTGCTTGTCCTCTGTGGCTGATCTTGTTATGTTTGCTTTTATCCAGCAGTCTGATTCTCATCCTTCAGTTATATTCTACTTGTTCTTCCAGCTCGTTAGGATAGAGATGTGACTGTGATTAAAAAAAAAAAGGAATTATGATACAATTGATGAATACATGGTGTATTTTTTTGTTGTTGTTATTTCTAGAGAAGAGAGGGAGCGGGAAGAAGCGGAGAGGGAGGGGAGAAAACCTGTGGAAGAAGACACCTCTGTTCCCATAGTCAATCCGTTCCAGCCCATAACTGCTGTTATCAAGGAGGTATTATCATGAATGTATTATTATTACAGATATTTATATAGTGCCGACAATTTACGCACTGCTTTACATATTGTACATTCTCATCAGTCCCTGTCCTCAAGGAGTTTACAATCTAAAGTCCCTACCTCACATGCACACATACAGGTACTAGGGCCAATGTAGGCAGGAGCCAGTTAACCTTCCAGCATATCTTTGCAGTGTGGGAGGAAACCCTCACAAGTACAGAGAGAACATGCAAACTACATGAAGTTAGTGTCCTGACTGGGATTTAAACCGAGGACCCTAGTGTTGCAAGGCAGGAGTACTAACCACTGAGCCACTGTACTACCCACTTATTTCCACTGTTTACTGTCTCAGGAAAAGGGATATGCTGATGGTTACCCACAGACACAACACTGTGGTTTCAAGAACTGCAGAAACTGTTTGCCTTCAGGTCCCCTTTCTCCATTAAATCTTTGTAGAAAGCCCTCTAAACAGAGCAGGGGAGCCATTCCTCTGACTGATTCAGCTGTCTGTGTAAATTTCAGCTTGAGCTGTTGAGCTCTGTAAACAGCTGGCTCGTGTGACCTTCAGGCTAGGTTCACACCTGCACGACACCCGGGACGCACAATGCAGGCAGCGATTGCCACGTGGCCCTATTGATTTCAATGGAGTGACATCTGCATGTCAATCACATGTACCTTTTTTTTTTTTTTTGCAATACACTACGCGCAGCTGTTTTAGTGTTCGGAAGCACGGCGGAATCCACGTGATGCAACTGGGGTGCCATTAGAAAATAATGGCACCCACAGCACGATCGGTTCACACCTTGGCCACTCCTGAACGTGGAGCAATTTGCGCGGCAATCGTGCGGTGAGGTGTCGTTTAGCTGTGAACCTAGCCTCAAAACATAGTCATGTGAAAAGAAATTCAGTCAGAAGGTTTTTACCCATACTATTTAAGACACTTTTTTGTTTTGTTTTTGTTTGTGAGAAACATGCAAGCTGCCATTGCTAACCTTTCTGAAAATGCTAGTTGCCTGGCTGTCCTGCTTAAAAGTATGCCAAAAAAAGCACTGGCTTGTCTCGGTCTTTCCTGATCTGAATAGTTGTTCTGGTCAGTGACTATAGAAGTAATTACATCAGGGGGTCAGTATAACAGTCTGAACTATGAAAAAAGAAAGTTGCCCTTGCTTGGTAATGTAAGGCCTGCTTTAAGTCCCATGATATGTGGTATAATTGAATTTGTCTCTTTGTGGGTCCAGTTATCAGACCAGTGAGAGATGATTGTTACTACAGTGAATTTACCTTCTTTGTCTCTTCTAAATGACATAATGTCCATGTTTATCACAAGTGCCACTTCCCTTACCTGACCTTCCAAGCCCAGAAGTTCTCTAATGCTTTTACATTTCCCACTGGTTCATTCTTCTCTTTTATGTTGCTTTGTCAGAATGAAGACAAAATCAAGAAAGAAAAGGAAAAAAAGAAACAAAAAATGCAGAATGGACAAGCTGGAGCCGAGATTCCCCTCAAGCCAAAGGCCGACGAGGAGGATGCAGAGTCAGACAGCGAGGGCGGTGATAGCAGCCCGACATCACAAGATGAACCTTTAATGGACCTGTATAAAGATGCTCTGAACCAAAAGCTGGAGCAAGATGAGAAGAGAGAGACAGGTACTCTCTTCAATACAAGCTGCTTATGTATACAAAGATCTATTTTATTGTTCTTGTTTGTCCTTATGTCTAGACATCAGTACATGGCCTCTGCCAGCTGTGGTCATCGTCGGGTGCCTGGGACTCAGAAGTATAAGGTCCTAGCTGTTGATCACTGCACGTGGGCAGTGTTCAGCTGTGAAGTACTCTCTGCTTGTTCCTGTGATGCAGGGAGGCAGACAGTACCTCATATATAAAAAGGATTTCAAAGCAGAATGCCAAGAGCCTTTATGTTATAATTCAGAAATATTTTACATAGTGTTAGTATAACTGACATTTACCTTTAGATAAATGCTGCATATTCCTCTCTCTAGATCTCTCTCGATCTCTCTCTCTCTCTAGATCTCGATCTCTCTCTCTCTAGATCTCTCTCTTTCTCCCTCTAGATCTCTCTCCTTTCTCCCTCTAGATCTCTCTCTCGATAGATCTCTCTAGATCTCTATCTATATATATATATATAAAGAGAGAGATACACACATACACACGCGCGCGGACTCTTTACCACTATTTTTTTCCTTTTCTTTTATTTAGACAACGCAAAAAAGAAGTTGAAGAAACTGAAGTTAAAAAGAAATAACAAAATCGAGCCTCTTGCCCCACAGGAGGTAGAGACAAAGAGCCCAGCTACACCTCCCCCACAGTTACCTGGTAAGTAAAGACATGAGTTGCTCAGAAGATGCTCTGAACTGCAAACAATCCGTTTTATACTGGACAGCACCCAGCCGGAGAAATATGTTACAAGCGTTGAGCCTCCGTCTCCGTCCAATACAGAACCTGTGAACATCCCATGAGCCCTACCATGGAGCACTTATTAAATTTGAGAATATTATTTATTGAATCATGAACGGCGCACATCCTAAATATTGCGGTAATAGTCACAAGTCTCTGCTTGTCTATAGTACAGAGATCTTTTCTATTTTTAACAGTGTTTTCTGAGGTTTTTTAGTTTGTGTGTAAATTGTGTAATATTGTACCATACTCCAGTATTTGCCTGTAAATAGTTTTGAAAATGTGATATGTTTATTTAGACCCCGGAAAGATTTATGTCACACTGCTACCAATGATCATTGTAAATTGCTTGATGTGTTATTGTAGAATGGTATATGGTACGGTTTTATTAGGAAAGGGCTTTTTTTATTTCATCCAAAAGCAGACCAGTAGAGCAGAGGTCTCCTTTTGTGTTAAAGTGAAAATAACCCATTAGGCCTCATTCACACTGGCAGTGTCAAACCTGCGTTTGTATGCGTTTTAGAGTACATTTCTAAATGCCATTGATTTTCAACGGATCATTCAGACTTTGTGTTTACCTGCATTCCGTTTATTTTTGCTTAGCGAAAATAAAGTCCAAGGTCTGATAAGAAGGTATAAACGCATTTAAAGGCGCATAAACACATCTAAACAACAGAAAAAGTGATCTGGGAAGCATGAAAATTTAGGCCACATTCACATGGGGACATCTGGGATTCCTGCAGCAGTAACGTACTGATTCTGGTGGCAGGAATCCCAGGTGTCCCTGTTGAGATGCGGCCGCTGTGCCTATTGAAATAAATGACACAGTGACAGTGGCCGCAGCAGTCTGCATGCAATCATACATGATATGATTACATGAGGTTCGGGATAGATGATTGTCCCTGGATACACGATAGATACATCCAGCGACAATCATCTATGCCGAACCGCATGTAATCACGCCATGTACGATTGCATGCGGACTGCCGCTGACAGATGCAGCCACTGTCAACGTGTCATTTACTTCAATAGGCACAGTATGCAGTAGCTGTCACACTCATTTACTTGAACCGGTACAGCGGCCGCATCTGAATGGGAACACCCTGGATTCCTGCTGCGGGAATCTGGAGGTTCTTGCCACAGGAATCCCAGAAGTCCCCACGTGAATGTGGCCTTATACATCCCAGATAACTTCTGTGTTTAGAAAAGCTAAATCCCGGAGTGCCAGTGTGAATGAGGCCTCAGTGTTGGGTTTCAGCAAGGATCATCATTTGCTACTTTTGGCTAGTAGTAGTCCTTCACATTCAGCTGGACTTGGTCTGTAATGTTGAAGATGTTTTATAGCTTTTCCAAGCCATTTCCTAAGTTCTGATGACTGTCAGGAGTATTAGAAAGTCGCTTGGAGAAGCTACGAACCATCTTCAACATTACAGAGTGCGTCCAGTTGAATGTGACTTACTACTCTCAACTCAACCATGACCTGGATCAATGAGAACCTTCACAGACATTTTGATATTTTGATTTGTCGTATTGAGCGAAATTGTGTTTGTTTTCCCTGTAGTTGGCTGGGGAACCCCAAAAGTTACTAGACTTCCAAAACTTGAGCCTCTGGGAGAAACCCATCATAATGGTAATTGTACAAAGCCTTCACCTTCAGCTTCTTGGCATGCAAAATCATTTTCCATGGTATTAACAGCACTAACTGTCTCATTATTAACACCTGGTTCATGCATGGCTCTTCTCATTGAAATCCGGTATAATGAGTTGGGTTTGTGTCATCTCTGACCAGTGGCAAACATGCATTGCAGAAGAACTTTTTAATCAAGGCCAAACTGTTTATTCAGTTTTGAATGGTGTGGGGAAGGGTTAGCACTCCCGTCAAGTCTTTCTTTTTTATTGCTGTGTCCCCAGTTAGGGCAAATAATGAGAACAGGGGAAAGGGGGTCTCTGACATAGGCACAGATAGCAATAACCTGACAGATGTCAAGTTCTTTTTTCCCCCCTCACTCTATTAAAGAAAAATGATTTGCTGCTGGCTGTGTACCCTTTAGAGAGTTTTAGCTTGACTTCCTAACCATCTTACCTGTGACTGGGACAGGAAATGAGGGGAAATCCCACAATGGGGGACACATAGAGCAGAAAAAACTGACTGATGTTCTAACTTCTACCAGCAATACAACAAAAAAAAGAAAACATAGAGTTTGTGCTGGAGTCAGACTCCAGTATAAGTACCCTGTTTATGGAGTGATGCTGGATCTATGTATAGGTCGTCTTGTTGTAATCCACTGGTGGAACTACCAGGGTTGCAGAGGTTGCAAGTGTGATCGGGCACTGTTGTTCTGTCACTTTGGGGGGGCCCAGAAACCCAGAAGAGGGCCTGGCCCCAGTAACCGCATAGGCGCCAACAATCTCTGTAAGAAAATATCTATGGTTTTTAACATCTTTTGCTGCCACCGACGTATGTTACTGGCAGCGAGCCCCTCTGAACAGACTCCTGGCAGCTATACACTGGAAGCGATTCTGGCGGTTGAGCTGCCACCAGATTGCTTCCCGCAGTCAGTGTAGTACATCCGTTCACTGATCCTCTCCCCACTGAATGGGAGTGGAAGTGATGCCAACTGTATCTCTTCTGGTCCCTCAGCAGTCATTCCTCAGCTTCATAAGCCGGGGAAGAAGTTATTGGAGCGCAATCTGTGCTCCGTTAGCTTCTTTGGAGTGGAAAGGTCACACTAGGGGTCTTTATTGACCCATTGGCCACTGCGGAAATGAGCGCGCGTGGGTGCCTCCATTAGAGCGATGGTGGCACTCATGCAGGGGGCGGGGGGAAGAGCGCTGTGGGGACCCACTAGAAAACGAGGAATGAAAAACTTAAAAAAAAAAAAAACAACAACCTGCAGCAAGGGAGGGTCTCCTTAAAGGAGAAATTAAAAAAAAAAAAAAGGCTCTAATATACCTTTTAAGTTAAAAAAAAAAAAGTAAAATGTTTCTTTTTTTTTTTAAAGGCCCCCTCCAATTTGGGATGTTATGTATCTATTTACTTGTAACCTTATCTTTTTTATATTTTATTGAAAAATTGGGTATTATGTTTTTGGGCACTGAAGTTTAGGTGTATTTTTAAACTAAAATTTGGGGTTTGATGAAGAGTTTGTGCTAATATCGTGCAACATAAAATATGCTACTGCCACCATTTTATTCTACGGGGTCTTTTGCTTTCAAAATATATACAATATTTTGGAGGTTAAAGGAGAACTATGGGGTGTGTGCTTTTCACTCACCTCATAGTTCTAGCCGACCTGTGACAATGAGACTGTCACAGGTCGGCTCAGTAGATCGGGAGGTGAGCGAACACATACCGGCGTTCGCTCACCTCTCTATTCTGTCACCGCCCTCTGCCATGATAGGGGAGGGGCTGGATTCCCCCCTCTCCGCACCGATCCGCCAGTGCCGACTGCCGGAACGGACGGGGTAGGGGGCGAGTACAGCTGGCTCTGCCTTTTAGATAGGCAGAGCCAGCTGTCAGTCACGCAGCTAAGCGGATCCCAGCACCATTGTTGAGATCCGCTTCAGCTGCGGCGTCTCAGTATACCGCGAGCTGCAGCTCGCGGTATACTGAGCCTAGGGTGACGGGAGGACGCTAGTTTGTGTCCTCCCGTTACCCTAAGGAGAACTATCGGGAAAAGCCTTAACCCCATAGTTCTCATTTTAAGTAATTTTCAGTCCAAAAATCTGGATTATAACATGTGCAAAAAACACCTTGGCAGCAAAAGGTTTAAAAAACGAGCATTATATTTAAGATTCCTAAATATAAACATGCGACCACTGTGACCCTGGTAGTTCTGCCAGTGATGGGAACATGCTTTACCGTAATTGCAGGATACATTTTGGTAACGATAGGGTTGGTTATGCCAGCAACAGCAGCCATTTACAACATTCATTTATTGGGGGGGTCAAAATCATGCTTTTTTTTATGGGGATAGGAGTGGGCTGAATCTAAGGTTTCTAGTTACGCCTCTGTCCTGATTCCTATGGGTACAAGTTCTGACTATGAAATCACAGAGCACCTCCAGCACAGCTGCCATTATACCACCCATGTCACACTGTTCACAGCATCTGCACCTGCACTGATATCACCAGCACTGCTAGTGTCACTTCTTGTCATCCTGCCTTCCTGTCATCCGGTGAACACCTAAGTCCCATAATGCTGTCCTGAGAGCAACCCTGTCCCTTACAAAGCGGGAGAGCTGCTAGCTGTATAAAGTACAGGCACCAATAGGGAACATACCTACACAGCTCTCATCCACTTCTACAGCTGAATGCCAACTGCTCTTACAGGCAGCCAGAGCTGGCCCACTCCGCCCCAGTATTCCTATTGGCTCATCACTAAGATGGGGTGCAGCCTTGGCCAATAGAATTGTGTGTGTATGGCAGGATAAGGTGGGCAATCTCCATTACTACTAGTAAGTTTCAGCAGTGAATGAGGGCTGTTGTAGGTATTTGTACCTGCAGGTACCTACACTTCATATATGCGAGCAGCTTATTTTTTATTATGTCACAGTCCCTTTAAGGGTCTTTGTGGATGGGCATTCGATGGGAAAATGCTTCATGCTTTTGACATCAGTTTAAGATGCTTCTGATCGTTCAGAATTAATTGAATGTGTAGTTGACCTGCTTCAGCTGCTTTTCCATTCTCTTAGACTTGCATGGGGAGAAAATGCAGTTTTGAAGCAAACAGAAGCCTGTTGAAGCCTCTGGATTAAAATGACAGCCAGGCAGTTAGTATTATTAGGAAGATCAGGGAATGACAGCCTTTTGATTTCTCTCAGCACAGGTTTCGTTCAATGTAAACCTTCCATATAATGCCAATGGTGCAGTTACTAGCAGTGTAAGGAGATGGCACATGCCTTTCTACTTAATGGACCACCGGGAGCTTTGCTCTTTGCAAATGCCAGTCATCTTCCATGGTGGCAGTTATGCACTTCCTGTCATCCCGCAATGCAGTGCAGGTGCCTTTCAGTAGGTTGCTTTGTAAGATTCGAAATGTGGAGGCGATGTTAAAGCGCCCACTAGGAAGAAAGTTTGCATGGAACATGGGCTTCCAGCTTTTCTCTCAGCTTTCATAAGTCGTCCTCATGAGATTTGGAAAGAATAAAGAAGGTCGGGAAACTTGTCTGTGTTGCCAATAGTGACCAGTCAGATTTTCCTTTTTTGATTTGAGCTGAGCAATATTTTTAATAAAATGTAACTACTACGTAACTAACTTCTGCTGCATTTCTCAACTAACAACTCTTCGTCATCCCATTTAGTGCCGGCATCTGGCTAATCAGCGCTCTCCTCCATCCTCACTCACATTTTACCTGTTCCTGTGCCCTAAGCTGGACTAATCCATCCATTTTATCTTGAAATAGATTTTTATGGAAAGCCACTTCCGCCACTGACGTTACGGCAAAGACCCAACAGCGACGCTCATGATGTCATTTCTTGAGACGCACAGAACGCTTGCCCCCCACCCCCTCTGTGTCTTTGCACTGATGATGGTTAGTTGGGAACACTAATATATAAACAAAAAAAAGTCAGGCAAGTATTGTGTGCCGCGGTTGTAGGAAACACTATCACCAGCCATTGGGGTCAGGGTATTATAAGTTCACAGCTACCAGGTATCTAATTCAGGTTAAAGAGCAACCGCACCCCAAAGGAGCAGCTTTGGGTCAGGGCACATTCCCCCACTGGGGCTTTAGTGCTGCTTGGGACCCAAGCAGGAAGCTCTCCTCCCACCCTTGGCCCAGCTGTAAGTACCCTGGCTGTATATTCCTATACACAGGGCTGTCCCTATAATTAGGCAGCCTGAGTGGGACGCTCCCAGGTAGCTAAGAACTGGGCGGGGAGATGCAGAGCCCTTACACATCTCCCCACCCAACTCCTAGCGGTGTCAGTCTCCACCAGAGATCATTTTGACTACATAGACTGCAGGGGAGTTGATTGCACCTTGTCTTACTCCACCCAACATGGAAAGATCTGTTCCTCTAAACATTGACACCTAATTTGTGAATGTTTGCTATGCGAAAATCACTGTTTTCCTGCCTTTTTGTTTTTATAAACCTGACAGATCAATGTCTACAAAAGGAGAATAATTGAAGGCACTTTGAACAATCTTAGAATGAATGGCCTGTCATTCTTTTTTTTCTTTTTTTAATTGTATACCAGAAATCCCACACATATAGAGATTGGCTCAGTATTAAATATTTCTATCAATTTTAAACTTAAACATATAAACATAGTATGTGTACAGATTTTAAAATGTTTTTTATACTGTAATTCTGGGAATCAAAACATTTGCTGAATATGTTAACGTTGTGAAAATATTACTGTTTTAATGCATTTTAAAGTTATTCCTTTTCACATTTATAAACTGGGGCCCACTGATGTAAGCGCTGCTGGGTGACAGACAAACTGAATACGGTTCATCCAAGTGAAGGGGTCCAGGTCCAAGAGAAGTTGCATTCACTGTGATCTGACCAATAGGGAGCCTAGGTTATTGTGAATACAGCTCATCTCATCGGTGACCACAGTTGTCACACGGGTACCAGTTTTTCGGTATTGAGTACAGATATTTTGCTTTAGGTACTTGCCGATACTTAGTACCGATAACGAGCAATCAGGAAGCCGGCACCATGCTGATTGGCAGGGAAGCTGGCTTCCCAGCCAATTAGCAAAGAGCCGGCTTCCTGGCCAATCAGGGAGGCGGGTTATTACTCACCGCCCGGGAAGCTGGCTCCATGTTCCCCTACGCCACTGTCGGTCAGAGGAAACCTTCCTCTGACTGGAATTTCCGGTATCGGGGAAGGTACTGGAGTATTTGGGTGAGTACAGGTATTCGCCCAAATATTTGGTATCGGTACCAATACTGATACTATTTGGACACAGTTGAATCAAAGGTTGGACACAGTTTAGAAACGTAATTACTTATTCAAAACTGCTAACATTTTACAACGTATCTCCTGTTCCTGATCATTGGAGCCACTTTCACTTTCTCCAAAGACCCATCCCTGCTGAACTCTGGACCCACCCCTGGAGACACATTCATACAGTAAGTCCCCTACTTACGAACGGTTTCCATTCTGAGAGCAGGTTCTTAAATCCAAAGTTAGCCTAGGTGCCCCGATACATCACTGCTGCTTTTACGGTTGCTTTCGGACATCTTGGGTTTAAAATAAAGATATTGTACTGCTGTACTCTATACAGTACTGTACAGTAAAGAACACAAAAGCGCACACACACACCTGACAATATATGCCAGACATGTGAACTAACTAACATGATTGGACATGTAAACGCACGTTCGTATCTCTGAAAGTTCGTAACTTGAATGTTTGTATGTAGGGGACTTACTGTATGCCTAACTTTTGGAACAGTCTGAGCCAGTGCTGACTTCTGTGCTTGTGCTGTAGACGAATGTTCTCTACAGTTATTTGTGTACCCTTCAGTCACTTTGCTCTGAATGCAGCCTCTCGCAGGCATCCAACACCATTTTATTTTACTGTTTAATATAGCCTTCCATATTACCATATAGGTCATTGTATATAATTTTCACAGTCTTGGTACGTTTTGAACACAAAATAAATTTATGTATATATAACAATTTGTGGTTTTATTTTTAGAGGCTGAACTCCTAGCCAGTTATAAAAGACACAACTTAATGCAGCTCTGTAATCATTAATGCATCATTAAAAGTATTTTTAAATGCATGCAGTGTAAGTACTTGAATGTGACCTGGTATCAGCCTCATGCACTCTCTGTATGGAAGAGCTGGAGTGTAAGAGGAAGAAGCTGAACAAGGAGTCAATCTGTTCATGTGCCGGGGAGAAGCATGTTGACAGGTAGGCAACCAATCGGCTTCTCTCTTCAGTTTGTTCAGTTAAGCTTTGGAAATAAAAGGTGGATGCTGATTGGTTGCCATGCACAGCTGCTCCAGATTTTGTCTGCTCAAGTTTAGATAAATCCCCCTCTTTGTATTCTGTGAAAATAATACTAGGAGTTTGGTGAATGTAGATGGGGAAGGAAGGAAAGGGCAATCAACGCATGTGCATCCAAGTGTGGCCAGCCGCCCCCGCACTGACCCAACCAAAAATCACATGAGCGAATCCAAGTTGAATGAATATTTGAAAGAAGTGAGCTAGAGGAGGAGAATAAAACTATTTTGTATCCCAAGGAAGCCAGTTCGCAAACCCAGCTGTCTGAAATTCGAGACAGCTACAGGTCCACAAACAGAAATAAGTGTCTCACCACCTTAAGCTGGGCAGGTGGGGGCAAGCCCTTCTGCGGAAGAAGCCTCTCAGTGGGTTTGGACGACTTAACTATGAAGAAAAGAAGATCAAACTTCAAGTTCCTTGATTTACATTTTCTCTCTGTACAAATAGTACTTAGTTAATAGTCCAAAACCTTATAAATAATCAATCTTTAAGAAGGTGCACGTTCTTCTTTGGCTTGGAGACTTTGGTTGCCAAGAGCTCTTCTGATCACTGAAGAAGCTGCACTTAAGAGACTTTTGACTTTGATCAAGGATCCTTGGGGACGAAAAATATGTTGATGAGCCGAAAGGGAAAGGCCTTCTATACAGCTAGGCTCCGTACCTTGCTTAAGCTGTGGTAAAAATTTGCTGTTGCCTCCCGTGATATTTTTGATTGCATAGCGCTCACCCCAAAGGAGACGCTGGAATACCCGGGTCAGCCATAGCCTGTCTAGGGGATTTCGGTAACCAGCTGCCCCACTAGCATTAACTGCCCTTTTCTAGTGACCGACATAGTTGAAATCCAAGCCAGAAGTATGATGCTGATGAACTTTATTAACATATCCACACTGGAGGAGTGGGTATGGGGGCCTAGACATCCAGGGTAGAACAGACACAGACTCACCAGTCCCTTTAGGAAATTCAGTGTAGATTAATTATGGGCACAGTTGAATAGGGATTGGCACAGATCTTCAGTAGGAGAGACACCAGCCCTGCTCCTGAGGTCCTCTCTATTCCAGGCACCTCCAGCAGCCATCCGCTTCCCTGGTTCTCCTCCTCAATTAACAGCAAAAGCCTCCTCCATACTTTAGGCCTAACAGAGCATTTTCCACGCTCAAGTACTCCCAGGCCTAGCCCGGGGGCAGGCTGGACATCAGACAGCCCTGTATGGACTATTCCAGCACATGGCAATTCTTCTGACTATACAGGTGAAACTCGAATAATTAGAATATCGTGCAAAGTTCATTTATTTCACTAATGCAACTTAAAAGGTGAACCTAATATATGAGATAGACTCATTACATGCAAAGCAAGATAATTCAAGCCGTGATTTGTCATAATTGTGATGATTATGGCCTACAGCTCGTGAAAACCCCAAGAACCCCAAATCCACAACCTCAAAAAAGTAGATTATTACATGCAATCAATAAAACAAGAATTGTACATAGAACAATATCGGACCTCTGAAAAGTATAAGCATGCATATGTACTCAGTACTTGGTTTGGGCCCCTTTTGCAGCACTTACTGCAATTACTTTTGCACGATATTCTAATTATTCGAGTTTCACCTGTATATGCCCTGTTCCAGCATGCAACACTGGCTAAGAGATATCTGTAACTGGACTTGCTGTATTTTTATTGAACACGTTTCACTGGTCATCTGACCAGCTTTCCACATTCTCTGGGTATAATTCAATTCAGAATGACTTTTGTACAAGTCATTCTGAATTGAGAAAGCTGGTTGGATGACCAGTGAAACGTCTTCAATAAAAAGTACAGCAAGTCCAGTTGCCTTGACTTGTTTTTTTACAGATATACCATGACCTGGAAAAATAAAAACCTTCACAGACACTGGCTAAGAGAGTCCCAGTGATTGGCTGGTAGACTGCACACACACTCAAAGTGTCACTCATTGGCTGTCCGACACTACAGTAGAGTCACACTCAGCCAGACTGACTACAGCTCTGGCAATCACTAAATTTCTAGTAGCCACCCCACTAATGGTGGTAGGGGCTACAATTATATCAACTAGTGTTGGCCCAAACAAATGATCACCCTTAAAAGGTAAATCTGTAAGGGCTTTCATAGAATTCTGGTAAGCTGACAAGTATTTATGCCACAATGAATGACAACCAAAAAAGACATTCTGGCAATAAGAGGTCCAGTATCCATCGAAGGGTTACACACATATTGAAGACCATGAGTTAATTGAGCTGCCAGTTCCACGTAGTTAGGAGAAACATGTTCACTCTCCAGGCTCTGATGGAAAAGTTTTGCCCATTCTGTGAGCATTTGGGATACAAGGGCTATGGCCAAAACAAGACATAAGCCTGATCCAGCGATGGTGTACATAGCTCTTGCTTTCATGTCGGATATTTGAAAGGAGATTTCTTGACAGGAATCATAGTAGCCTTATTCGGTGCAATAGGAGGAGACATCTATTTTTGTTTTTTTATAAAAATAATTTTAAAATGATAACACAAACAAAAGTGCTTTGGAAGCACAAAAATCCCATTCATTTTAAATAAAGTCTTAGTCAAACATTTAGACTTATGTATACCAAACGTTACATAGTTACATAGTATTTGAGGTTGAATAAAGACATTAGTCCATCAAGTCCAACCTATTAGGATCTCATTCTAGGAGTACCTGTACCCCTGTATATTACCTGTACCCCTGTATATTACGGTCCCTTAAGAAATCGTCCAAAAGTTTCTTGAACAATTCCACATTATTTGCTGAAATCACCGCCTGTGGCAGTGAGTTCCAGACCCTAAC